GTAGGTATGGGTATATATATTTATGGAAACTTACTGCAAAGCCATGAATATTTTAAGTTCTTTATACATATGTATTTTGTTGCTGTGTTTTGTCATGTTCTTTGCAGGTGAACAGACAGTGGCCGGGTGTTTTGACGTGTGCTCTATTTGTATATATTTCTTATATTTTGGAGTCTTACTTTGTCTTTTCTTTCTTTCTATCCTATTTAAAAAAAAAAAAAAAAAAAAAAAACTACACTAGAATGTCACTATAATAAATATTTCATAATAATGGTGTGGAGAGGATGGCTGTAAGGGGAGAAGGGAGGCCATCAAAAAAAAAAAAAAAAAAAAAGATGCCCCGACAGAACGAGCATGTCAAGACATGTCCATCCTGTTATCCATCCTGTGTGATTCTGGTTGTTACACACTCTGTTTGAAGGCCTCGAAGCCTTGAATAATCAAAACTATGTGTAGAGAAACATGAACACTCACACTCCAAAAGCACAAATGTATATGACACACAACTACACAAGCTCACTAAGACGCACACACACACAGGCACGTTGGAGAGGCACACACACGCAGGGAGAGAAAAGCAGAAGCAGAAAATGTTTTTCTTTTCAATAAAAAGTACCAGTTTCAGATGAATGAGAAATATGTGTTTATAAAAAATCAATAGACAATTAATAACTCAAGTGATATTATAAACCTTGTGATTTTAAAATGTAAATATTATGATTTTAGAATGTAATTTGTTTTTAAGCTTATTCATGATGAATGTTGAAAGAGAAAACCTGTAGCTTCGTGTATGTTCTAGAAAGAAGTTACAAGCTGAGGTATTACGCAAGTGGGGAAACACTAGAACACAGCTCTGAGCGAATCAGAATAGGACAGCACAGAATGACTGAGCATTATTGAACAAAATACACCCAGATTTTAATATGCATTAGGAGTGACTGGAAAAATCCCATAAGAAGCCGGTAAAGTCGGACCAAAGTCCAACCCAAAAGAGATGGGTTAGCCTGATAGGGTGACTGGTCTGGAGATGTCAGTCAAAATCACAGGCTATATAAACAAAATCTAAAAAAGTTAAATCTGGTCCTCTTGACATTCAAAAAAACCAAAACAAAGCAAAACAACAAAAAAATGTAGAAACGTTTCGTCTTTCATCAGAGAGACTTCCTCAGTCTGAGGTGCTGTATTCCGCTCAGTCTCTTAAATAGCACCTTCTCAGAGTGGATCAACCAGTTTTGCTGCTGACAACCAAAACCAGCTGATCACATGCTCAAGAAGGACCATCAGCCTAACAATGGATCATTAGCACACTGATGGCTGTTTACTATTCACAGAGGGCTGAGTAATACTAGCAATCACAGCATTGTAAGAGGGGGACAATTGAACACGTAGGCCTCCACCCCTGTTTAACGATGGACAATTTCTTTTCACAAAGATGGCCTCCTTTACTCCTCTCTCAAACCATCGTTCCTCTCTATCCAGGATGTGCACATCTTCATCCCTGAAAGAGTGACCGCTGGCCTGGAGATGAGTGTAGACCGCAGAGTCCTGGCCTGATGATGTTGATCTTCTGTGCTGGGCCATCCTTTTGGCCAGTGGCCGTTTTGTTTCCCCGATGTAAAACTGATCACAGCTCTCCTGACAATGAACAGCATACACAACATTACTCTGTTTGTGCCGGGGGACTGGATCTTTGGGATGAAACAGTCTTTGCCGTAATATATCAGTCCACAGGGACTGAGATCTACCTTGCCAAGGAAAGGTCAACAACTAAAAAAGGGACTAAAGAGTGAAAATTATTCATCATGTAATCTCTTTGTAATCAAGTGTAATCATTATTGTGCAATACCGCTGTTCCCCTGCACAAGGTATTGATTAAAGCAAAGCAAAACGTAAAATTCTGGATTCTTATTTCAAACACCCTTCTGTTCTTGAGAGTGGAAAACTTGGTTCAATGAAACAACAGAAACATGGGAGGTTTTAAACGGTTTTATTAGCTTTCGATTATAAAACAACATCCATGAGCCTTGTGCCTAGGCTCTAAATATCGCCAGATCGATTAACAATTGCAACGCTAAATCAGGAGATGAGCTACCGTTAACTTGCGCTCCCTCATCTGCTAAACGTCCCGCTCCTGCTGCTAGGTCCGGCGAGGCACGAGGTGAAACTTTGGGTGTGGTGCAAGGATCGGAGGTAGTTAACAGTCTGGGTGAATCATCTCAACACAGCCTTAAAACTAAAACTGTCCTAGGGAACGGCTGCAGGTAATACCTGAGCTATAGGATTAGTTTTGAGACCCGCTGGGGGAGAGACTGCGGTGAGGACGTGGCACGTGTCCTGTGCCTACCTCACTCGGGAAAGCAAGACAATCTACTACAAGATTTAAAAAAAAGATAAATTCAGTGAAATAATTCATTATTAGTTTCTTGAACATGTATGTTATCTCACTCCAAAAATTGATTGAAAGCTGCTGCTGATTATGACTTCATAACTCTTCATGTCTGTGATGCTGGTGAGACATTTTCATCAGTGATTAGAGTTTAAACAGTCTGTGTTCACAAACATTTCACCAAACAGAACATCTATGATGATGTTGGCAATGACTCCAGCTCCTATGCTGAGCCTTTAGCCTCCACCTCTAAGGGTGCATTCACACTAGCCCTGTTTAGTCCGCTTTAATCAAACTCTAGCTCGTTTTCCTAGAAAGTCCGGCTCGTTTAGGGAGGTGTGAACGCACCATCGAACTCTGTCACGGAACAAAAAGGCAAACTCTGGCCCGGGCTAAAACCTAGGTCTCGGTCTGGTAGAAGCGAACTCCAGCGCGGTTAGAGTGCAGTGTGAATGTAAACAGACCGGACCCCGCTCCGCAGGGTAAACAAACACGCATTGCTCTTACCTTATATGGAGCCGTCAGCTGCCTTGTGTGAAAAACAATATTCTCCATGGTCTTCTGTCTCATCTTCTGCTCATGCTAAGTCCATTTTTGAAAAATGACAAAATATAACTCCTAAAACTGCTAAAACTTGATGCCACTTCGTTTTTATTTTTATTTACAGAAGAAGAAGAAGACGTGTCTTCAGAGGTTTTTGTGTCGTTTCTTTCAGTAGTTCTTGGTGCAGCACCCCCACAGGCGAGTGGGGGAATAGGTTGGTTCAACAGGTTGACTCGGCTGCACAGTGCAGTGTGAATGCAAACTCACCAGCTCAAATGTAAACAAAAGCTCATGAATATTGGTCCCGAACCGAACCGAGTCTACCGGACTATCTAGTGTGAAAACGACCTAACAGTTAGTGAGAAGGCTGCCTATCAAATTTCATTAAATTATCTTGAACAGATCAGAAGTTATGGGCTGGACAAGAGGAAGTTTACAACAGGATGGATGGACAGAAATTATTCCAAAATACTTTAATAATAATAATAATAATAATAATAATAATAATAATAATAATATACCTTCGACAAGCATATAAAAATAAGATAAAGAAGAAGACAAGAAGAACCGCCCATGTGGAGCAAACGTGGTGAGTGACCAACATAAAACTGACTGCACATTCTCCTCAGGAACATTATCACGACTAGGGACGAAATCCAGCCCTTTTAACACAATCAAACTGATAAAGCATAATGAACAACACACAACCGAGCACCGAGTTTGGTAATAGCACCAACTTGCCAACAATCCCAGCAACAGGAGCGTTTGGAAAAGACTGGTTTTGTTCAGGCTCTGTTTGAGGAGCAAGAACAAAAACAGTCTTTTCTACCAAAACTAAGGTCCTCTGACTTTCACACACATTTATAAAGAATGATAAGAAATATAATGTCATTTAGTATTACAGTAGTCTCTCACTACTTCGTGGTTTGTTTATTGTGGACTCACTTCATCACGGTTTTTCAAAATAACAGTGGACATGACACACAATTGGCTGATTGATGGATGAGCTGCACGATCAGCATGAAATTTTTATTTAAAATAAATCATTTAAAATTATTTAACACCTGCTGCACCTTTGTGCAGCCCACAGCTGCAGGATAAACATCCTGCTGCAGCTGATCAGCTGTTCAGCATGCAGAGCTGAGAAGTGGGCGTGGCCAAGAGCGTTTGCAGGTGGCTGAGAGCAGCGGAGGCAGGGAGCTGAAATTATGATTCTGTGCTCTTTTAGAGCGTTTAGAGTTTAGAAACGTTGATTAAAATATTGTAAGAGTGTGGGGAGGGTTTAAAATGCCTTTATATATATAAATAAATAATGAAATAAACTACTACTTGTACGACTATCTCTACTTCGCGGTTTTTCACTTATCGCGGGGCTTAAGGGTACGGATCCCCCCTGATAAACACACACAGTCTCAGGGCCAGTAGCTGGCTGAGGTTTAAGGTACCCTTTGTACGCACAGAGTCAGCAAAGATGAGTTTGTCCTATTTCGGCCCGTGGTCTTGGAACGATCTGCAGCTGAAGTTGAGGTTAGAGTCTTTTATTCCATTAGCTAGTTTTAAACAAAAATTGTCTGAGGTTTTAGTCAAATCTTGTACCTGTAATGTTTAACTGTTTTGTGATTTTCTTAACTTACATTGTATTTTATGTTTTATTGATGTATGTTTCTTTTACTTATATTTTATTTTTAATGCATTGATACTGTTTTTAAGACTGTTGCTATATGTGTATATAGCCCAGGACATCCTTGTAAAAGAGATTGATGATCTCAATGGATTTCTTCCTGGTAAAATAAAGGTTTAATAATAATAAATGAGGGACTACAGTACTTGTATCGGTACTCAGTACCGAAACAAGAACTTAAGTAGAATAAGTACTCAAATAGAATACTTGTAATTGGTTTGAAAAAAAAAAAAGACGTGGTATTGGTGAATCCTGCTGACATGGTTCTTTCAGCCATTGTGTATATGTGTGTTGGTATTAGTATTAACTAATATGTTAGTTAGCAGCAGTGTTTATCACACAAAGTTTTGGTAACATTCTGTCAACCTGAGTGGGACAGAGCAGCGTTACCTCCATCCATGTGAGGGCTGGCCCACAGTTGATCTTGTTGTCAGCGATCGCTGAGAGTCGTGAGAGGTATGCCAACAACATCTGTGACACACACTGACAGGGAGGAAAACACAACGGTTAGACTTTAGTACAGCAGCACTGATTAAACTGATCATAATAACAGAATGTTCAAACTTTATGAAAATAAACTACATTCAGTGTTCATATTCACATTCAGTGTTCATATTCATAAATTATATTGACTCAGTTAACACACTGGTGCAAATGTAAATGTCTGGAGGATTTAAAGAGATAGTTTGGAGCAAGAGTTCAATTCTGACAGAACCAACAAGCTAATGGCTAGCAGGAGCAGGACCCAGAACAAATCACATCGCTGCTGCCATAAAACAGCTCACAACGTACAGTTAGTTTAACTAAATTCTCTGAACAAGCACAAAAACTGTCTGGGCTCACTTCATACAAGAGTTTTATGAATATTTCTACTGGAAGAACTGGAATGTAAAACTAAAAGGGGTCCAAAAGTTAGAAAAATTTTATTTGCACAAATTAAATAAATATTCTGTGTTAAAAAAAAAACACACACATAAAAATGGTTCCTTTTCCAGAACAAGAGTACTGCAGGCGGCACATGACACCTCCGCAGACAGACTATTTTATAAATCTATATATGATATTATATTATACAGCAATCTATAGCAAGCAGCCTGGACAAGCACAGTCCTGGTTTAAACTCTGACCTTGATGTGTGACCTTGACCTTGGAGCTGGGGTGATGAAAAATGTATGCGGCAACCCATCTTGTGATGATGCATGTGTGTATGAAGTTTCATTAAATGATCTTGAGTGGATCAGAAGTTAGAAGTTTACAAACATGAGGAGACCATAATATGTGCTGCCTTTGATGGGCAGATCAAAATCCATCCATCCATTATCTTCCACTTGTTCCGAAGTCGGGTCGCAAGGGCAGCACTTTGAGCAGAGAAGCCCAGACATCTCTTTCCACTTCCAGCTCTTCTGGGAGGATTCTAAGGTGTTCCCAGGCCAACCAAGAGACATAGTCTCTCTAGCGTGTCCTGTGTCTTCCCCGGGGTCTCCTCCCAGTCAGACATGCTCGAAGCACCTTTCTAGGGAGGCATCCAGGAGGCATCCTTAGCAGATGCTCGAACCACCTCAACTGGCTCCTCTCGATGTGATGATGCATGTGTGTATGAAGTTTCATTAAATGATCTTGAGTGGATCAGAAGTTAGAAGTTTATTAACATGAGGACACCATAATATGTGTTGCCTTTGACGGGTAAATCAAAATCCATCCATCCATTATCTTCCACTTGTTACTAAGTCGGGTCGCAGGGGCAGCACTTTGAGCAGAGAAGCCCAGACATCTTTTTCCACAGCCACCTCTTCCAGCTCTTCTGGGAGGATTCTAAGGCGTTCCCAGGCCAATCGAGAGACATAGTCTCTCTAGCATGTCCTGGGTCTTCCCCGGGGTCTCCTCCCAATTGGACATGCCCGAAGCACCTCTCTAGGGAGGCGTCCAGAGGCATCCTTAGTAGATGCCCGAACCACCTCAACTGGCTCCTCTCGATGTAGAGGAGCAGCGGTTCTACTCTGAGTCTCTCCCAGATAACCAAACTTCTCAACCTATCTCTAAGGGAGAGTCCAGCTACCCTGTGGAGGAAACTCATTTCAACCGCCTGTATCCAGTATCCACGATCTCATTCTTTCAGTCAATACCCAGAGCTCGTGACCATAGGTGAGGGTAGGAACGTAGACCGACCGGTAAACAGAAAGCTTTGCCTTATAGCTCAGCTCTCTCTTCACCACAACGGACAAGTACAGAGTTCGCAATACTGCAGATGCTGCGCCAATCCGTCTGTCAATCTCACGCTCCATTCTTCCCTCACTCGTGAACAAAACCCCGAAATACTTGAACTCCTCCACTTGAGGCAGAACTTCACCCTCGATCTGGAGAGAGCAATCCGTCCTTTTCCAGTTGAGGACCATGGCCTCAGATTTGGATGTGCTGATTCTCATCCCAGCTGCTTCATACTCAGCTGCGAACCCCTCCAGTAAGAGCTGAAGAATATGGCACGATGACACCAACAGGACCACATCACCTGCAAAGAGCAGAGATGGAATCCTGAGACCACCGAACCCAAAACTCTTCGCCAACTGGCTACACCGACTAATTCTGTCCATAAAAGTTATAACCAGAATTGGTGACAACGGGCAGCCCTAGCGGAGTCCAACTCTCACCCTGAAGGGGTACGACTTACTGCCAGCAATGAGAACCAAACTCTCGCACCACTTGTATAGGGACTGAACAGCCCGTAGCAACGGGTCCCCAATCCCATACTCACGGAGCACCCCCACAGTGTACCCCGAGGAACATGGTCAAATGCCTTCTCCAAATCCACAAAACACATGTAGACAGGATGATTAAACTCCCATGACCCCTCGTGGACCCCAGTCAGGGTAAAGAGTTGATCCAGTGTTCCACGGCCAGGACGGAACCCACATTGTTCCTCCTGGATCTAAGTTTCGACCAACGATCGGACTCGCTTCTCCAGTACCCCTGAATAGACCTTACCAGGGAGGCTGAGGAGAGTGATGCCCTTATAAATGGAGCACACCCTCCGGTCCTCCTTTTTGAAGAGGGAAACCACCACCCCAGTCTGCCAATCCAGTGGCACTGCCCCCGATGTCCAAGCGACGTTGCAAAGGCGTGTCAACCAAGACAGCCCTATCTCATCCAGAGTCTTAAGGAAATCAGGCTGAATCTCATCCACTCCCGGAGCCCTGCCACCTCTGAGCTTTTTAACTACCTCGGCGACTTCAGCCACAGTTATGGATGGATCAACCCCAAAATCCCCCCCACTCAGCTTCCTCCATGGAAGACGTGCTGGTGGGATTTGAGAAGGTCCGAGAAATATTCCTTCCACCTTCCGACAACATCACTGGTTGAGGTCAACAGCAGCCCACCTTCAATGAAGACAGTGTTAGTAAAGTGCTGCTTTCCCCTCTTCAGCCTCCTCAGATGGTTTGCAAGAATCTCCTCAGAGCCAACTGAGGGTCGTTATCCAAGGTCTCACCGAACTCCTCCCACATCCGAGTTTTTGCCTCGGAAACAGCCAAGGCTGCGGACGGCTTGGCCCTCTGGTACTCCTAAGTTGCCTCCGGAGTCCCACTGGCCAACAAGGCCTGACAGGACTACTCCTTCAGCTTGACAGCCTCCCTAACCCGGGGTGTCCACCACGAGTTCGTGGATGGCCACCACAACAAGCACTGACAACCTTTCAGCCACAGCTCAAGGCAGCCACCTCAACAAGTGAGGTGTGGAACATGGCCCACTCAGACTTCATGTCCCCCACCTCAGCTGGGATGCAGTTAAAGCTCTCCTGGAGGTGCGAGTTGAAGACCTCTCTGACGAGTTCTTCTGCCAGGCGTTCCCAGCAAACCCTCACTACACGTTTAGGTCTACTGTGTCTGTCTGGCATCTTCCCCCGCCAACCAATCCAACTCATTACCAGGTGGTGATCAATTGACAGCTCAGCTCCTCTCTTCACCTGAGTGTCCAAAACAAATGGTTGCAAATCAGATGACACGACTATGAGGTCTATAATCGATCTACAACCTAGTTGGTCCTGGTGCCAAGTGCACTTATGGACATCTTTATGATCGAACATGGTGTTTGTGATGGACAAACTATGACTAGCACATAAGTCCAACAACAGAACACCGCTCGGGTTCAGATCAGAGAGGCTGTTCCTCCCAATAACGCCCCTTCAGGTCACAATGTCATTACCCACGTGGGCATTGAAGTTCCCCAGCAGAATAAAGGAGTCCCAGCTGGCGCACCTTCCAGCACCCCTGCCAAGGACTCCAAGAAGGCCGAATACTCTGAACTTCCATTCGGTACATAGGCACAGACAACAGTCAGAGCCTGTCCCCCCACCCGAAGGCAAAGGGAAGCCACCCTCTCATCTATCGGGGAAAACTCCAACACACAGGCACAAAGTTGGGGGGCTGCAAGTAGACCCACACCAGCTCGACGCCTCTCACCATGGGCAACTCCAGAGTGGAATAAGGTCCAGCCCTTCTCAAGGAGATCGGTTCCAGAGCCCATGTTGTGCATTGAGGTGAGACCAACTATATCTAGTCGGTACCTCTCAACCTCACGCACAAGCTCTGGCTCCTTCCCTACCAAAGAAGTCATGTTCCATGTCCCAAGAGCCAGCTTTGGTAAGCCAGAGTCAGAGCGCCAAGGTCCCCACATTCGGCCACTGCCCATGGCATCACACACCCGACTTTTATGGCCCTTCCTGCAGGTGGTGGGACCACAGGAAGGCAAACCCATGCTGTTCCTTTGAGCTGAGCCCAACCGGGCCCCATGGGTAGAGATCCGGTCACCAGGCGCTTGCTGACGAGCCCCTCCCCTAAGCCTGGCTCGAGGGTGAAGCTCTGGTCACCCATGTCCAGGCAAGGGACACCGAGTTCCTTGCTGTATCATGTCCATAAAAATCTTCAGAATTGCTCTTAGTCTGGCCTGTCACCTAGGACCAATCTGCCTTGGGAAACCCTACCAGGGACAATTATAATTGCCCCCGACAGCATAGCTCCTAGGATCATTGAGGTGCACAAACTCCTCCACCACGATAAGGTGGTGAACCAAGGAGGAGCAGATCAAAATTAATCCATTAATTCAAATCAAAAACACTTTACTAATCTCAAAAGGAAATTAAAGCTGCAAGCAGCGTTGAAGGCCCTCGCAGCGAAGCGCCGCTGCGGCCTTACGGCGACCGCGGAAACTCCAGCAACTCTTCCCGGTTGCCATCGAGAACGCTCACGCTACTGTCATGCGCCCGTTCTACGGAGTGCGAATTCGCCGAACCTTTGACATAAGCTGCGATCGCATATATAACTATTGTAATAACGTAGGGGGCGCACTTGAGTTGTCAGGGGGCGGGGCTTTGATGACATCACAATATGATGACATTGGATCTTCGGCCATCCAACAGGGATGAGTCATGGCAAGTTTGGCACCTTTTGGTCTTTCAATGTGAAAGTTATAGCGTTTAGAAATTTATGGCGTTA